TGCCTGGTATATCCTTTTTCTATTTTTTTATTTTTTATCTTTCTGAAGGTCCTAGCAAGCATGGCAAGGCAAGAAAAATATTAAAAGAAATTAAGGCTGAAAGAAAGAAGACTGTCATACTTATCGCTGATAGGACTATGTAAGTAATAAGATTAGTTAGAAAGTTAAATAAATGGAAAAAATAATGCTATTTATTAATATAATAGCATAAAAATAATATGTACCTAAAGATACCACCAACAAAACTGCATAAGATCTTGATGGAGAAAATTATAAACTTCGAAGAAATAAAAGAACCTAAGGAGAGCCAAACAAATGAATAGACAATAACACTGTCTCCAAATTGATCTATGATTCAATGAAATCCCAAACAAAATCCCACCCGGGTGTTAGTAGAACTTTACAAATAAACTGTATGTAGAATTACAGGGGCCATGAATAGCTACCACATTCCTGAACAACAACAACAAAAGGGGAGGGAGGAACTGCCTTACCAGATATGGAGCAATATTTTAAGAATTTTCATACCATAGACAAAAATTAATTTAATGTGTATTGATGACTTAAATATGAAAAGCAAAGATGTAGTGCTTTCAAAAGATAATATGGAAGAATATTTTCATGACTTTGGCTTAAGTATTGCTCAAAAAAGAAACAGAACTAAAATCCATAAAGCAGTAATTTGATAAGCTTAGACTACATAAACTGTTCTGTTTATAAAATATAGGGAAAAGAGAAGACACAAACTAGAAAACATTTTGCAACACACACAATTGATAAAAGATAAATAGTATCCAGGATATATAAAGATCTCCTATAAACCAAAAGAAAAAAGACAACCCAACAGTTTCTCTGAAAAGAAAAAAAATCAAATTACCAATAACATATATGAAAAAAAATTCAACCCTATCAGTGCTCAGGGAAAAATAGATTAACAACACTGTATAAACTTATTCTCTGCCAAAAATGCATGCTATTAATCACAGTACAATTAGTCAAATACAGATGAACCTATTTGCATGCTTCACATCTCCTCCCTTGGTCATTTTCCAATCATTTGCAATCATTACATTTACTATGTATCAGCTTTTTTTATTCTTCATATAAGCAAGTGCTGGTTCACGAACCAGCAATGAGCAATGTCCTTTACTCTCTCATTCTAGAACCAGGACCTCTAGGTGGGGTGGCCCTAGGTCTGCTTCTAATGGACCTCTGGTACCTTACATAATCTTTCCTCCTGGATTTCCTTAATTATAAGCAAGAGAACGAAGTGAGCTTTAGACACCCTCTCCACCCACGCCCGCACGCCTACTGCCTGCTCAGCTCTAAAACTCTGATTCTCAATGTATATGCTTTTAGAAGACTTTCTTTTCCACTTACTCTTTCATTTTATTCTCTTACTAAGAATATTTTCCCCTTAATCTTATGTACTAGGCATTGGAGACACAAACACATAGAACAATCTCTGGGCCCCAGGGTCTCACAGTTCAGTGGGAAAAAAAAGATTACCAAATCACAGGAATGTGGCAAGTATTATAGTTAAGATAAAGGGGCTGAGGTAGACACAGAAGGAAACATGTACACTGAGACCGAAGGACAATAGAGTTTGGGGTCAGGGAGAGAGGCATGAAGCAAGGGATTTCCAGGCAGAGAGACTAGCGTCAGCAAAATCTTGAGAGGAAAAAATAAAATTAGGCATTTGGGGATTTGTACAGAGTTCAGCATGGGAGAATGAAGGCCTCACATGCTATATAAGGAAACTTAGAAATTATCCAGAGGCAAGGTGGTATCTTTGGGCAGGGAAGTGATAAGATGAAATTAGAATTTAGAAAGATCATTCTAGGTGCACTGTGGAGGAAAGAAAGGAATATGAAACTGGAGACAAGAAGGAAGGAAGTGGAAAGACCAGATAAAGGCTACAATTGTCTTAAGAGAAATGACAAGAATCTGAACTAAACAGTGGCAGAAGAAAAGGAAAGAGATTTGATAAATATCGTTGAGTTAAAATGAACAGGACCCACTACCCAAAAGTAGTGGCTGAAAGACTAAGAAAAGTCAAGAATAACTCCTGAAAGAAATATGGAAGATATGAAGGCTGTACTAGTGAAAATAGAGAGAAAGGAATTGATTTGAGAGAAGTTAATGAAGCAGAAATGTTAAAACCAGTTGAATGATTAGCTTCAGGGGCTGAGGAAGAAGGAAGAGAAAAGGATAACTCCTTTGTTCCTGGCTTGTACTAACAGGTAGGTTGTGGAGTCATAAATCAAAATGGGGAAAGCACAAGTGGATTTTGAGGGAAAGAAACTGTTAATTTTTCAGCACACTAAATTGGAGGCACCTGAGAGCCATCCTAGAAGAGAGATTTGTTAGATTTTAAGCTAGTAAGGAGTTTAGAACCAGAAATAATAAGGATAGCTAACATTTAATGAGTGTTAATTGCATGCATGGCACTGTAAAAAGTGCTTTAAATGCTTTATGACAATTCTTGTAATTCCATGAGATAGCTACTGGTGTTATTCCTGCTTTATAGACAAGAAAAAATTAGGCACAGAGCATTTAAAAGAACTTATCCAAGGTTACCATGTGGGTAAGTGCTGGAGGTAGGACTTGAATCCTGGAGTCTTCAGAGCCTGTGCTAACCACTTCACAGTGTTTACCTGAGAGCAATCAGACAGACTTGAGATTGAAGATATGAAGAACATGTGGAGTGCAAAGAGGACTAAGGGCAGAGTTCCAGGAAATGCCAATCATGAAGGGGAGGGCAGAAGAACAGGGGACCAGAAGACTGAGGATATCCCAATGGAAGCCAAAGGGAGAGAATGTTTCAAGAAAGAGGAATTAATTAACATTGTCATTTGATGCAGACACTCAAGTCAGAAGGCAGAACTTGACAACTGGAAGGCCTGGGGCATCGTTCAGCCAGAGTAGTTTTCCAAGAGGCTAGGGTCAGACAGCATTGGGTTGAGGAGAAAATGAGAGGAAGTGAAGAGAGCTTCAAAAAGCTAAACTGTGAAAGGAATAAAGATTCAGGAGATTGTGGCAGAGGCATAAGTTTGGAAAGTTTTCTTATAAAGTTTGAAGGATTCTAAGCATTCTTTCAAGCCAGATGTTATTAATAAAAAGTAAAATTCATAAACAGCTCACTCAAAACCTGTACGACACTTAAGTCATAAAACTACACTTGCAAAGGAATTTCTGTACACTGCCTACCCTCTTCACATCTTGATCACCTGCATCAGGCTCTAATGGGCCTACACTATCAACTGGTGGATGCTCCCACCAGGCTCTAGACACACCAGCCTTTCCTCAATTTTTCAAACACATTAAACTCTTTGCCTTCTCAGGGTTGCCCATCACCTTTACCTGGAAACTCTTGCCTTAACTTATACAGGGCTGACTTCTCATTCTTTAAAGCCACCTTTTCTGACAAGGATGTCCCTGACCAACCTTTGAAATCACACTTTTACCTTATTCCCTATTATGGCACTCTATTTTTTTCCTTCACAGTACTCAATCTAATCTGTAGCCACTTTAACTTTTAATTTGCTGCCTCTTCCACTAGAATGTATGCATCATAACTGCAAAGCTGTCTAGAGGCCTGTTGGCTTCGGTATCTTCAGCCCTTAGAACAGTTCCTGATAAATAACATGTGTTCAATAAATATTTGTTAAATGAACTACATAACCCGATTTCTCCCTTTATCACCTTTCTCCATTGTGATCATGCATGCTGTCTCTTAAATCAAAGGCCTTTTCCTCACTATATTGACATACACGATCACAAAACATTTATTGCACTAGTTACCAGGCTCTGTGCTAGAAGCATTATTCATATAATTTCACTTAACCTTCAACCTAATCTTCTCATGTAGACAGGTGCTTTAAAAATTACCTACACGGTATAAGTGAGGATACAGGAGGTTGTATAACTTGTCCAATTTCACATAAGTGGTGGTGCCGGGATTAGAATCTAGTTCTTCGAAAACAAAACATGCTTACTTCAAGTGAAGGCACATAATTTGGTTTGGTAAGTCTTCATGTAGTTTTATTTATGTACCAAGGTTACACCTGCTTTATCCAGTCCACGTCCCAATCCATAAATTCAACTTTCTCTCCCTCTTCCCGCTTGTTTTCTGATGGCGGCAGGCGAGGGCAGGGAGGAGCGGAGGGCTATCCCGAACTTTCGATTCTTGGTTTCTCCCGCGGAAGATGCATATAGGTAGGAGACGAAATCCAAGCGTTAGCACCTTATCTCTTGGCACTGAAAATGAGGTAACCTGGGGCCTAACATGCGACCGGCGGTTTTGAAGCTCAAGCCAACAATTCCCGCACCGCACCAGTTGCCAAAGCACTTACCTTAACTGCCACCTCGGGAGCCGAGTCCACTGCCACAGCTAGAGAGGGCTTGGCCGAAGGCGACTTAGTCAAGTGCATAAGCGAGTCGGCGGCTGGCAGAGGACACCGACTGCCCTCACTGTCCGAGTCCGACTCGGACCCTGAACCCGAACCATAGGAAGCGGCCAGAGCTGCAATCGCAGCCGACATGACGGCATCAGATCCTCTGCTGAGACCAGGCCAGGGCGGAAGAAGCAGCGACTACCGGGTCCTGACAGATTGGCATGAAACACATTCTTAACCTCCTTTGCTAAAAAGCCATTTAAAACATTTTAAAACAATAAACTAATTATTATTAGAATAATAACAATCGAAATTAGAATTTGGAAACTTTTATATAGGGCAGAAGGGAGAGTTTTAGGAGCTTACAACTTTCAGGACCTAGCTGGTTAAAGAATACGATTTCCGAAATACCTTAGGCCTAGAGATCCCACACTCCCAGCGTGCAGCGCGGCGGGAAGTGCGAGAGGGCACAATGGGAAGTGTAGTTTGGAGCGAGGGGGCGGGGCGGGAAGGCAGGTCCCTCTCTGACCCCGCCCCTGCATGGATGGTTCTTTCAATTGGCTATCATCTTCCCTCATTCCCTAGCCAAGCACTGTTCTCTCCGTCCCCCTCCCCCAAACTGAGGCTTGGGTAGTACCATAGAGCTTCACGAAACGGGGGGAAGAGGGATCTTTACTCCCACTGATGGGTGAGTGGGCGGAGGCTGCATTTCCCACCACGGTTGCACCTGGGCACTGGGGGCTGGAACGTAAAGTGGGAATCTTGAGTTCCAGGACCTAAGACTGGCCAGGAATAGCTCCTGGGTGGAAGGGTAGGAAATTAGGTGGAGAGAGCCCCGCGGTCCCCCCTGCTTCTGGCGCGGGTCCCCGCGCCCGGTATCGGAGCGTCGCGCGCGGGGAGGGGGCGGCTGGGGGGCAGCGGCCGCTCGCGGTGTTGTTCGCTCGCGCGTCGAGCACACGGTGGGTCCGGCGGCCGGCGGGCGCCCCGGGCGGCGTTCCCCGTGGCCTGGCGCCTCGGCCGGTGCCCCGAGCGGATCCCGCCCCAGAGTCTGACGCTCCTGCGGGCTCTAGGTGGAGTCCCGGGAGCTGAGGGGGACCGGCGACCGCCGCCGAAGCATGAAGAAGGGGTAAGGCAAGAGCCCCCCAAGATTTCACGGTGAGCGCGAGTCTCTCAGGAATTATTTTTTTCGGGGGAGTGGGTACTGGGAGAGGAACTCTTCCTCACCGGCCGGAGCCGAAAGAGGTGTGTGTGGCTCTCCAGCCCGCAAAGGTTACGGGGATGGATGGGCGCGCCTCCCCCGCGACGGCCCCCACCCCCATTCGCGGTTCCGCGAGCCCCCGCCGCCCATCCGCTAGCCGGGCTGGATGCCGAGGGAGACGGCGGCGGGCGCGCCTGGGGCTCGGCTGCAGGGACCGCCCTGCGCTGCCCTGGTCGGAGAGGCTGCGGGTCTCACCTGAGGTGCCATGGCCCGGGCTCCCCTGCCCACCCGCACCCACGGTCCGCCCGCGTGCCTCCTCGCTCTGGCGGAGGCTGCAGCCCCGGTGGCCGAGAAGCCTTTGCTCGCTCTACGTGCCCGAGGCTCTGTAAAGCAAGCTTGTGCGTTTGCGTCTAAACACATAACGGTAAAGCGAGTGTAGGCATCCTTTTTTTCGTTTGAAGAGGAGGCGAAGCGGTGCCGTCGCTTCTAATAGTCTGTTAGTGGGGGGTGCCTTGGGCAGAGTTGGAGCCGCTCACTCAGCTCTGATGTCGGCGGGACTCGCCCATTGTGCCACCCAGATAATTATTCAACTATGCAGCATCCATTGCACCTTTCCCATTTGTCTTTTCCCCTTGCTATAGCATGCCCCCTAGCTTCGGTACTCTGACACCTTCTCCTGCACTTGCGGATGATGAACTGGAATCACGATGAAAAGAAAGCACATCCGACCTGAACATTCACGACCGGTCCAATAACCGATTAATTTATCCCCAGCTAGACTAGATACTTAGATACGTCTCACTGTAATCATACCCTTTTCTATATAAGGTTTTAATTTTAATTTTTTTCTTTGATGTTAGATTCACGTATTAGCAAAGTATTATTTCTGTTAAGTAATTGATGTAATTGATTTATTGGTTATTCAACCTCGCTAATGTTCTTAAATTTAATTTGTATGGTAGGTAACTTTCGTTTTTCTAATTGTTGTTAGCACTATATCTTAATTACAAATGCAGTTTCTGTTTGAACTCTCAGAAACAGTTTATCCCTTATGCTCCAAGTTTCTGTTGAAAAGTATTTTTATTTACATCGAATATTTGAAAGTATTTGACATGAAATTTCTCAAGCTTTGAACAGGAAAAGTTTTGTATTTATTTTTCAGTAGCAGAATATTTGATTACTAATCATAGCCTTCAGTTGAATGAAAGGAAGGATTTAGTATTTAAGGTGAGGTTTTTAACTGCTATATTAATCATTTCCTACTTTATTTGAATTTTATTTTTTCTTTGCAGTATCATATATTTAATTGCTTTGGAAATTTTTTAATTCTCCTAACTTATTTCTGCAAGGATGGGTAGGCTCCAGTTTGGATGATCTACCTGAAGGATGGAATATTTTTTTGAAAACATAGGAAACAACTGTTTGTTACTTGATTTTTATGTTAAGAACTACTTACATCTTATTATTTAAAAATAAATGATTCACTACTAAAAATACATTTTTTTGTAATCTTCCCTTTCTATCTTTTCTTGTTTAAGCTTGTTGCATTTACTCTTTTGATAAAACAATTGCACATAGACATTGCAGAAACAGTTTTAAGGTACAGTAATTATTTTGTCACTTGGAAGTGGTGTATGTATAATATAAGTTGATGGTATAGAATCAGTTGCTTGGTTAGGCAATGACCTTGCAATTTACAAAATGGATACCTTTGTGCCTTGGTTTCCTTATATGTAAATGGAGATAATACTCATTTACCTCAGTAGGTAGTATGCTAAATTCAGTAAAGATGTTTTCAAAGTGCTTTTAAAGAAAATTTAAATATGTTAGCTGATGAGTAATGAAAATATTTCAGTGTAAAATATGATGAAAAATGTGTTAGGATTTTCGTTGGCATGTTACTATGGCTAATTTACATTGATTTTTGCTTTGGAGACATATGCCTCTAAATTGAAGAATGTTTCACATCTATCAAGGGTTTTTAATAATTGAAGACTTAAGAGATATTACAGTTAATACTTTTATATACTTAAACATATAGGTATAAGTATTTAACACTGAAGAAAAATTGTGACTTAATAATAAAGCGAGTAGAACATTGAATTTAGGTTGTGAGAAATAATATATCCAGAAAATATTAAGGCCTTTTTCATTAAAAATCTGTAGGTGACACAATCCAAAGCACATAGGTGTGATTATTTGTAAGGTCTGATATGGAACTACTTTATTATTCAGGTTTTTAAATATACATTCAGAGACAATGTGTTAATGTTGTATAAGACTTTATTTAATTACACATTTTGCTTTATTTTAAGAATAATTTAAGGTATCTTTTCATTATCACAGTGGATAGTAGCTTTTGATTTCCTTATTGGAGGATTAATTCAGTCAATTTTCATAGCAAAAACTACTATTAAAAATTATTAGAACTTTTACCAAAACAATGCTTTTGGGTACTTTATGGGAAAACTTCATGTATCAGATATTAAGACTATTAAAGTGTCTTTGAAATTACTATTGTATGGTTTCTTTTTTTGAGAATTCATTTGATTACATTTTATAATGTTTTCTTAAATGATGGAACTAAAATTTAGCTGTCGCTGTCATTTGGGTAAATGCAGTTAACTCAGAGTTTTTCTTACCTCTATGAGGACAAGAACTGACCTGCAACTTACTGTCATAAATCCAAAGTTGTTAGCCTAGTGTTTAGCAAATAGTAGGGCCTCAGTTTTCTTTGTTGAACATATAAAACGAATGAGTGAAGAATATCCATTGAATTAATATGCTTAGTGAAAAGTTTTAAAAGGTGATTTATGAAACAGATCTTAATGAAACATATAGCTTTATCTCGAGAGAAAAATGAATTTGGAAGTTCTTTGAACTCGATTTACCTGTTCAGATATAATTCCTTTACCTGTGCATTTTTGAACTGGCACTGTTTACTGAATAATGTATATGTTGGCAACTTTTCATTTTTGAAATGATATATATTAACAGTTTTCTTCTCATCTCTTATAGCTTCATGAAAATGTACATTAACCTTTTTGCTTTTCCTAAACTAAATGAACAGAGATATGTGTTTGATTCTTTTTGATTTACTTAAGCATCCTAGTGAAATAATAATAAAAAATGAATGTAAATTAAATACTGTGTTTAATGCTTGAGTACCCAATTTAAAAAATAAATGACCTTTTTATAAAATTTTATAAAGATATAAAGGAACTTTTTATAAAATTAAGAATCTTATAGTTTTCGTTTATCACATTCATCTTATAATTTTGAGCTTTTGTGAACTGGCAGTCCCTATTTAAAATGGGATTGATTATATTTTAAAACTTATAAAATGGTTTGGAACTTGAGAATTCTTTTCTCAGAAACAGTGTACTTAGTGGTTGGGTTCACAGATAGCTACTAAAGCCTATTTAACTCATAATACACCTGAATTATAGGATTATGCTAATAATATTAGAGAATTATAAAATTATAATAACTAATATAAATATACTAAAATATCTGTAAAACTGTGTATGACTGTCTGGGAAAAATCAATTTCAAATCTACCTTGAAATGCTAGGAACATGTTACTGTTGTGTTAGACATGACCATATTGTTAGGAACTTGTTCTCTTTCACCCACTGGATATGAAGAGGAGGGTCTTCCTCAGTTTATTGAGTTTAGCCTTACATCATGTGGGACAAGAAGTTAGGGCATGAGAGAAATTGGAAAGAGTTGGGGTCATCTTCTGCATGACTGTATCTCTCAAGGTCTTTGGTTTTTTTTTATTAGTTGTAAAATGAAGGTTGAATCAGATGACCTCTGAGGTCCCTTTTAGCTATAAGTAAAATTCTAAGGCACTTTGAAGCTTGGTGTAACCCCCGTTTTTTCTGGGAGTTCATTTTCCCTTTTAAATATTACTGCTTATATCCCTCCTGTCAGGAAATTTCTCCTTTCTGGATTTACCTGTGAAAAGAACATAGTCTTAATCTTTTCTCACATGTCTGTTCTCAAAAGCAAGACTTTTTAGTTTTTTGGTATATTATTTTCCCGTTTTTTTTTTTTTTTAAATAAACTCCCAGCACTGCCAAGAAACAGAAGAATTGGGATGATTTTCTGTGTTGCTTTTTTTTTTTTTTAACAGCTATTAGTAAAGTTAAGGTAGATTTTATTTATTCTTTAGAGAAAGATTATATTCAGTGAATCTCCAGAGAAATTTTTTAAACAAAAAATATTGAAATTAACATTGTGGAGTGGGAGTATGATGGTAAAAAGATAGGTTATAGTTTGGAGATAGGGTTGCCACATAAACTATGGAGCATCTTATATTTTTGGCAACCTTACCTGGGGTGCTGTGGAACTTTGGCAATGACATGATCAGCTTTGGCATGGGTGTGGTGGGTTTGAAGATAGATTGAGAAAATGAATTTGTGAACTCCTTGAGGAAAGGGACAATTTTGTTGTTTGGTTGTTTTGTTTTACCTCATTTCTGTGTTCCTAGTGCCTGCTTTTAGTGTAAGCTAAATGGATTTTGAGTAGATGCTATTACTGCAGAATAGCAGGAAAGTAATTTTCTTAGGGTGAAAAGATCAAGGTGCGGTGAGAAAAAAGGTCACGAAACACAGCTATGTTTGTCACAGCTATGTCAAATACATAGGCGTATTTTGTAGGTTTTTAATTAACTTCTTATGTGGAGATTAATGATATCAAGAATAATGTGTAACATGGCCTAAGAAGAAAGGAAGTAACATTGCATGCTTGCTATATGTGCATGTCATTGTATAGGTATTGTTACATCTGTTATCTTATTTAATTGATATGTTAGCCCTATGAGGATTTTATTGAAAGAGGTTAACTGAATTGAACATGCTGTTTATTCTGCCTACCAGAAATCCATGTTCTTTGGGAGCTGCTTTCTCTCCCCTTTCTTCAGTGAGTTACTGTTGGAGCAATTATTTTAATA